CGTGAACTATGTCGGTTAATTGCTTCATTGTATGCATTCATGTATGTGAATAAGGGAATGTGAATCAAATCGAATGCAAATGAGTATATATATATATGAGCAATTACATGCCATGAAACCCATTACTTGATTATGTGACTATGAACATTGTTCATTATGGGTGTGATTGTGATTGTGGTTGTGTTGACTGGATCGGGTGTCACGTTTCGACACATATATTGTATCGGGTATCACGTTCCGACACATGTGAATTTGATTAGGTGTCACGTTCCGACACACTAACAGTTTGGGTGTGGGTTCCATGAGAGAACCACTGTGATTATTACATCTATGTCTAATTGTCTTTACGATTGGAAATTGTGTGTTAGTCCTGAAATAATAATTGATCTATGTATTTTGTATGTGTGTTTACTGTGTTGTAATTGCTTGCCTATGTTTCACTTACTGGGGTGGCCGTGTGATCCTATTATTACACTGTGGTTGTGTACTTACACTGCACTTGCTCGTTCTTTGTTGAGTACAGGGCATCTTCAGGCGGCTACTGATAGACCTCAGCTAGGGGATCATTGATCAAAGACAGGATTCAAGGGTGAGCCAGTTCTTCCAGGTTGCCATGGATCCTTCCTTGTTCAGTCCACTGTTTTTGGACTCTGACTGTTTAGTTAGACTTTGCTTATGTTAGTTTAGAGGTTGCACCCCTTTTCTTAGATTTGTTGTTTTACAGAGTTCTAGGGGTTGAATTTCCGCAATAGTTATGTTAGTTGTTTTATTAAACTTTCAGAGTTTATGGGAACTCCATATTTCATTAGTCATTTAAACCTGCTTCCGTATCCTTAAATGTTCTAGTTATCGTTAAGTTGCTTAGTTAGGTTGTAGTAATGGTTCTCTCACCGGAGGGTTAGTGTGGGTGCCAATCACTACGGTCTGGGTCGTGACAAAGTTCATATCAGAGCCCTCGGTTCATTGATCTCGTTGTACCAAAATGAGTCTAGTAGAGTCTTGCGGAACGGTACATAGACGTCTGTACTTTTCTTCGAAAGGCTACAGAACTTTAGGAAATCTCTCTATTTTCTTCTCCTTTCGTGCTATGAATTGATTCCAATTGGTATCTGGTGATCCAAATTGGTATCTAAACTATTTCACTCTTTTGTCCGCAGATGGTTAGCACGTGATACAATGGTTTTAGGCCCATAGCCCCCACCAATGAGCCAGTTGAGGATCCCAGAGCAAGAGGCCGCAGTCGAGGCAGAGGAAGAAGAAGGGGTAGAGGTCAAGGAAGGGTAGCACCCGCCAGGAGTGGAGCCCTAGTTGAAAATGCTCTTAGAGAAGAGGTCCCTTCTGCGCCCCAAGAAGAGGTACAAGGGAATGCGGAAATCGAGGATGAGGAAGATGTTGGACCAGAGGGGGATGTATAGGCAGAGACTACACGTATTCCTCCCTTAGACCCAGTGTTAGCTTAGCAGATCATGACTTTCCTGAAGGGGTTGGTCAGCCCTGGAATCCTTCCCACAGTGGAAACGGCTCAACCCCGAGCCAATCCCTCCATTGTTATTACTGTTCCCAGGGTGGGTGGAGCTGTAGGCACTGATGCCTTTTTTCGTCCCCTATTGGGTCATGTGATGACTGGTAATGAGCATGAGATGTTGACTAAGTTTCTGAAGTTGAAGTCGTTGGTGTTCCATGGTTCTAAAAGTGAGGACACCTATGAGTTCATTTTGGATTGCTATGAAAGGCTTCACAAGTTACGTATTGTACATCAGCATGGAGTAGAGTTCGTGACCTTCCAGCTTCAAGGTGAAGCTAAGCAGTGGTGGAGAGCCTATGTGGAATGAAGATTGCCGATCTTACCCCCACTCGCTTGGACACAGTTCCATGCTTTGTTTTAGGAAAAGTAAGTGCCCCGTACTTTGAGGGATTGTAAGAAGGATTAGTTCATTGATTTGGAGCAAGGTGGTATGATTGTAGCTGCTTATGAGGCTAAGTTCCATGTTATGTCTAGATATGATACACAATTGGTAACTACTGAGGGAGAGGATCCGTCTATTCGTCAAAGGATTAAACCCCGAATTACAAGTATTGTATGTTCACATGACCTCTGCAAGAAAAAGTTTAAATGAGGTGAAAGACTTTGTGAAGAAAGTGGAAGGAGTTCGACGTGACGGGCAGGTCAAGGCTTTGGCTAAGAAGCCCAGTAGCACATGTAACTTCCATGGTTCCTATTCCAGAGGTTCAGATAGGCTGACACTTGCAGCTTGGTCAATTCAGTCAGCCTTGCCCGCTTCTATAAGTAGTTACTCAAGAACTCCGTTGCAGAATTTTATTTAGGATAGATAGGGAGCCGCACCTTCGGCGGGCAGCAAGCCATCTTTTAACCGCACTTGTTATAATTATGGAGAACCTGGGAATATAAGGAGAGATTGTCCCCATCCACGCATGTTTGACCCCGAGCAGCAGTACACTAGAGTAGTGGTACCCACGGGCAGCGGTAATAATGGCAGAGGACGTCCACAAGGTGGTCGAGGAGGGAATCAGTGAGGCCGTAGAGGCCGGGGAAATGGTATTGCAGGTAGAGGAGCAGTGCAGCCAGGCATGGAGGTTGTCCGTCAAGATGACAGGGCTCAATGTTATGCATTTCCGGGAAAGAACGAGGCAGAGTCTTTTGACGCAGTGATCACATGTACTATTCTCGTTTGTGACAAGATAGTTACTATTTTGTTTTATCCGGGTTCTACTTATTCATATGTGTCAGTTTATTTTGCCTTGGGATTTGATGCGGTTTGTGATGTACTTGATGCCCTCATCCATGTTTCTACCCTAGTTGGAGAGTCTGTCATAGTCACCCATGTGTATCGTGTTTGTCCTATATTGTTTATGGGTTTTCAGACATGGGCTGATTTGATTATTTTGGATATGACTGACTTTGATAAAATCTTAGGCGTGACTTGGTTGTCCCCCTATTATGTTGTACTTAATTGTAATGCTAAGTCTGTGACTCTAGAGATCCTGAGTAGGGAAAAGTTAGAGTGAGAAGAGGTGTACAAGTCTAAGCCAGCTAAGGTCATATCTTTCATTCGGGCTAGGAAACTGGTGAGGCAGGGGTGTTTGGCGTATTTGGCTCATATTCGGCATGTTGATGTCAAGTCTCCCTCTATTGAGTCTATTCCTGTAGTGTCTGAATTTAGGGAAATATTTCCTACTGAATTGCCTATTATGTCTTCGGATAGAGACATGGATTTCTACATTGACCTGGAACAGGGCACTCGCCCCAGCTACATCCCTCCTTATCGCATGGTTCTAGCAGAATTGAGAGAGATTAAAGCTCAAATCCAAGAGCTTCTTGATAAAGGTTTCATCCTGTAACATTTCTCAATTTGAAATAGCTAGGAAGAAGCTAAGAATTGGAAATAGTCATTTTTGGAAAGTGAGTTTTTGGTCAACTTCAAATGGTCATAACTCCTAGCTCAGGATGAGTTAGGTGTACTTTCAGATATGGTTGGAAAGCACTTGGAATGATCTTTCCAACGCCGTCGAGTTTCTGCAATTTCGAGTTTGTATGAGTAAGATATGCCCTTTGGAAGTTGAACTGTTGGATTAAGGAAAGTCCAAATCCGGATTTTTGAAAGGTAGTTTGGTCTTTTCCGTACCCTTTTATTTTAATTCATTTTCAGTAATTACTTAGGGGTCTAAACTAAACTTAGTCAGTTTACGCTTTTTGAAAAAGATTTAGGGTTTTGAGAAAAGAGAAAAGAAGAGAAGAAAGGGGAAGAACGTTCAAGATTCGTCAAGATCGTCGAAATTTAGCTTTTGGATTTTGTCGGGGCTGATCCCTACAAGGTATGTGTCAAGCCAAAAATCTCATTAAGGCGAACCGGCACCCATTGCCGAGAAGGCTCGGGAGGACCAACCTGTAATCATGCTTTATCTATGAACATTTAAAGGTGCTGCCATAGTGGCTAACATGTTTTCACGAAAGTAGACAATATTAACAAGCCGAAAGAAAGTGCACATGACTTGGCTGTTGGGGCCATGATAACTAAAACACGCGACACAACCACACTTCACTATACATAGTCTACAAATCCTTAAAATGATAAAACATTATGGACAGGCCCCGCCTTACACTCAGCTACTATACAATACCAAAATACATGCTATAAACTCGGAAATCCCCGAATCAACCTGGAGCTCACCAATAGCCGTTGGATGTCATGTTGTCCTATTGAGGAGATCTACTAGCTCATGTACCTTCAGCATGAATTGCAGGTCCCCAGAGAGAGACGTCAGTATGGGAGAATGTACTAAGTATGTAAGGCATAAAGTACTATATGTGAATAAGAACTCAAATGAAATCATATACCAATGTAAGGATACAAGACCACCTTTTCTCATATTATGGAATCGGGTACTTTACATTCTTTTCTTTACTTTATCATTCTTTACTTTACACTCTATGCACAACATATAATACAAATGACCAGCTGATCAGTGGTAGACATATAAATCGGGATCGACCCATGCTAGGCTTTCCTTTAACCTCTGGGATACCACCCGTAATATTGGGATCGACCCATGCTAGGTGATTCTTCCACCCCTGGGATACCACCTATCAATAAGCAGATTCATTTAATATCTTTCCATTAACATTTGAGATTATTGTTTTGGTGGTCATAGCATTTTGAGTTGTGGGACTATATAGTCAACAAGTGACGTGTAATAATCATATAATAAAAGAACAACAACGTAGAGAGTAGTTACATAATTAATGAAATGCATAGGAGCTGAAATAATATATGGACCTTATTTAGTTAAAAGGAGAACTCATGCAGGGTATTCAATGTATATGTACAGATTTGACAATGAACATGTATTGGAACGTGCAGACATGTTAAAGAGTGAGAACAAGATCATAAGTCGTGTTGGAGCTGGTAGGCTGCCTCTATGTGTCGAGGACGAGTCTAGATTTCATGTCAATTAGTAGGAAATCGAAAAAGCCTTACATACCTTGTTGTACCACCTTGTAGTTACCTTGAAGTACCTTCCTTTCTTTTCAAATACTTATCTAAAATAGAGTAGGAGATAAACTAGTATTAGTAGTTACTAAACATGCTTAGGCAGTCCAATCTCACTCAACAATAATGCTCGGGCAGCAAACCCGTAATTACCAAACTAAGGGTGTTCTTTCAACCCCGCCTTCTTTTATTGCATTTGTACACTACATAGCTATATTTCAATATCAATAATTTACATCTTTTCCAGACATCAACCAAGCTGTCCCTAATATGTTTACACATCAACCTGTCCCAAAACAGTCTTAACAATCCAATATACAATAGAGGACGTGAAACCATAATTTCCCATCATCATCCCACGAGTTCTTATCAACACTATACTTAAAACATCATACTTAGACTCGTGTTTAAGGAAGACAAAGATAGGGCCATCACTTTACCTTAATTCTTATAACTCGTTTTCTTTTAACTTTAACTCTTCAATAACTTGAGCTTCCCTTCACATACCAAAGAAAAAAAGAAAAGCCTCTCAATAACAAAGGAAAGTGAGCAATTAAACTTTTGACAGATTCAGTCCTTTACTTATTCTTAACTAATAACATGTTTATCTAGCATTCCATGAGAGAACTACGCTAAATCCATTAGTAATTTCACTTATTTTACCTTGCAAGGGCTTGGGTTTATCCAAGAACCCTAGGAAACTTGTGGCTGCTGCTATGCTTTGAAAGAGAGAGGAGAAGCTTAAATAGAAGTCTGATTTTTTATCTATTCTTAAAAGTGAGGAAATGGCCAGCAACTTGGGGATTATAAAGGTCTTATTTTTCCCCACCTCTTAAGTTTTAATATCAGCCACTAATTTGTCAAAGTGGTCCAAGTAGGTGATGCATCTGCTTGGAATTATATATACACAAAATGGGCCCTTTATGTACTCATCTTGAGCTGCAATCTTTCCCCTTTCTAATATTAAGCCTTGGGCCAAAATTATACCCTTAATTTGGGCCTTAATCTTTATTGGGCTCAAGTAGTTGGACTTGGACAGATTGGTGTGAGGCCTCATCTCCATTCCCTTTTCCTTTTTATTTAATTTGGGCCTCAAGTGAGTCCACTAATGCATGAACTAATCTTCCCCATCTACCTAGCCCATTTGAGCTAAGCAAGTAGGTGACACCTGCTAGCTTTATAAAGTCCAACAAGCACCTCAATTCTTTTATTCGTTTATCGAGCGTAATCTCCTTAGTTTAAATCAAAACTTATATACACTTGATCACCTTAAATTTTAGACTTACATATAGCCCTTCGATCCAGAATTTAAATACTTCTAAAATTTAACGTTCACTCGATCGTGCAATATTGCAATGTACGGAAGATACCCTTATAGCTTTTTTATTGTCACCATTCATCTAGGAAATAAAGTTCATTAGTTATACCACCAACATAAATCAAGTTCCATATGTGTAGAACTTGTAAACGTAAAATACAGGGTGTTACATCCTCCCCTCCTTAGGAACATTCGTCCTCGAATGCTAGCATAATCAGATAGCTTAAATAAGTTCAAACCTTAGTTCAAATCAACTGCTAACCACATAATAAATACCCTTTCATGCGTACCTAT